CATTCACTTACTAATTCATTCACTCAGTATTCTTTACTTTCTACAGTCAACAAATAGTACTATTATATTCACAAATATATAGTATATAATCGATTGATTAGAAACAATCTTTATTAGCCTTATGACTACAATTTTTGTCACCACCGAAACCACTTCATCCGATTACTAGACTGTCGTCTACATGTGATACAATTTCTGCCTAGAAGTACACCAACCAATATAGTTTTCCTGGTCTGAACCTCAATGGGCCCACTTAAATCTGAAGGACAGAATAATACCATCTCAGCACATTTCAGCTTCACTTTGAAGGTTACTTGAATTAGGCGATAGTCTAAGCCCACATCTGCTCCCCTTCTGAACTTTTTGTACAGCAGACTGGCTGCGCTTCAACATCATTCAGCAGCATTCAGATGAAATCTTTCTAGTTTGTAGTATGTCCTTCAGGAGAAACCCATTTTGCTAGCCGTGTGTATATCCTTGTGTTTGTACATGCTGCCTCCAATCACTAAATCATTGAAAGCGCAGAAGTTTACGAAGACTTTTCTGTTCTCATTCATTTCTCTGAGAGCCCTTCGACCCATGATGAGTTCCCTTCCAGTATTATATGCTCCCAGCTTGGTATTTATATCGCCCATGAGGATTTTCATGTCACAATTTGGGATGTCCATTACTGTTTGTAGTTGTCTATAAAAATCTTTCTTCTCTTGTTTCGCGTTGTTTGTAGCATTGTGCTTAGCATTGGATAATTGTAACCTTCCCTCCTTCTTTTTGAGTTGAATCTTGCTGTCACGATCCTGGAGGAGGAGATGGGTTTTCACCGCATTGGGGCTTTGGCTGCCACTGGGAACATCATGATAGCCACTCAGTGACTTAGTGTGGTCATAGTTATCATCTGGGTGACTGGACCTGAGTAGATTGCCAGTTCTGTGTGTTGAAGCGTGGATCATATCCCGATGGTGGGCGAATGGCGCCTTAGCAACTAATTGACCAACCATATGGGCTTCATTACTAGCATTACAGTGTTAGATAATTATCTAAGAGGGATAATATCAAAATTATTGAAATAATAACATTTTATTTATGAAATGAAGGAGCCAAAAGTATAAAATATCTCATGTATCGTTAGCTATCTTTTTTCATTCTCTGGCGTTCCGAGAGGAACATTTGCATGTTTAAGCATATATAATAAACAAAATAATATAATTTACAAAACACCTTGTGATATATATCCATATAATTTGTGTGTTTTGTTTGACAGTCTGTCCTTGGTGATATATATCCATATAATATGTGTTTGTTTGACAGTCTGTATATTTGCTATGTATATATGGATCGATATTCCATTATAATTAGTCAATCATGTTAAGACTGTCTCTTGATTCGCTCATACACTTGTGTTCACACACTTTCGGACATTCATATTTTGCTCTCACACACTTGTGTGACTTTGATTGTCCTTGTGTTTGGAAAAAAGAAGTATCATCGCAAACCTAGTGGTCTTCTAATTTCCGTCTTTCTTGCGTCAGGACTATTAAATTCTCGACCATTACATAACACCTTGCAATGACTGTGAGTGAGGTCAACTACATATGTCGGGAGTAGTGAGATTATCAGAACGTAAGAATTTAGTTAACTTAGAATGATTGATCCCACAAAGATACGTAATTTGGAAAAAAGTTCAGCAATCAAACTGCATGCATTGACACATAACAAACAATAGGGTGGGACAGAGTCGAAATTCTAGCAAGTTATGTAGGTAGGTGGAGAGACAGACTGATTACTGAATCCTGCCTGGTTCGTCCATTCTGCATCCAACACACGTCATAGAAGTGATTCACAGCAAATACCAGAGATATGGAAGATATTATTGTCAGTCAAATCAGAGGAGAATAAATAATGTTAAAATGTATTTCAATGGACATTGTAACGTTCTAACAAGTTATTTCTTTTATTGTGAAGGCATCTTATTCCCCATCTTATTGACTAACAACACTCGTCTTAATTCCTATCCTATTGTATTTTATTGATAACACTATTGTTTCCAAATGTACTTTCTCTTCCTTTCTGTTTCACATATGTCGATTGGACTTTTATTAGTTTTTATTTATATGTTTAATCAGTTTTTACTCATGTATATAAACGAAGCAAGAAAGTTGTATGAGTACCTTTTTATATGATTATGAGCAGTAATAAACTGTGCTCAAAACATGGTTATCAGTAAACATTACTGTATAACAACACTGTGTGACTTAATCAAAATAAAATTCTACCCATAATGGAATGATACATCCCCTTTTTAGATGTCTTAATCAGGAGAATCAACATAGGAAATTTAGAAACACGAGTATATAGAAAATCAACGCACACAGATCAGATACTCAGCTATACTAGCAACAATTGAATTACTCACAAAAGAAACTGTGTGCAGACATTGTTTAAAAGAATTCAAACACACTGTAGGACTCCAGAGTTGAAAAGGGCGGGAGAAAAATACCTACAAACGGTCTTCAAGAAGAATGGTTATCCCCTCCACAAAATTTCATCAAAAAGTGTTGAAAGTCGAATCAAAGACCACAAGAAAATTCATCATACCATACATGAGAAATATCTCTGAAATAACGGCTAGAACACTGAAACCGTTTGATATACATATAGCACACAAGCCAGGAAAATTGCTTAATTCGATATTATGCAAACCAAATGATCCAACAGAAAAAGGAGATAAAATTAATACCATTTACAAAATAAATTGTATGAACTGTAACAGGCATTACATCGGCCAAAGTGGGCGTCCCCTTCGAATAAGAATCCAAGAACACAAATCAGCCGTGAAAAGAAATGATATAAATTCTTTAGTATCAATGCATATAGCCAATCATATACATCAATTTGATTAGGATAATGTCAAAATCTTAAACAGAGGAAACACCAAAAGTGCCAGGGAATTCCTAGAAGCCTGGTACTCAAACGAGTATGCTATTAACAAACACGTTAATATAGACGAAGTATACCAACTAATAAAGAGTAAATCAGGTGACCAGAAAATTTAGAATCCGAGTCAATAGAAAATGGTCAATACATATGTAAAGATGGTTACCGAGAGACGCAATTATATCACTCATGAAGAAAAATTTAAATCGTTTCACTTTATGCTAAATACTGCGCTGGAGATGTTATCTAGAAGGACGACGAAAGCTTCGCAACTAAATCAACCAGCTAAGAGAACACTATTAATTGCGAAATTCTACCACAGTGCCTAAGTTTTATCCTTATATGTATGGCACTATCGTACAAGACTGTCAGATTTTGTTGATAAGGATTATGTGTAACCTTCATATTAGGCAAATCGCACCTTGTAACGATACATTGGTTTATAGAAGGAAAACAGCCTTATGCTCAAATCAACAGTAAGATTAAATAACGATAAATCAAAGTATCAGTCACCAAAATCTCAGGCATTAGATAAAAGGCTGATGAAGAATGAGTAGTATTCATATACTATTCAACGAAATTATCAATACTACTAATGAAAAATCAATGCAAGCATTGTCCTTCGGTGAACCAGTATTAAAAATGATAACCTTAAGTAAAGCCTCTCTAGTTCTGCAAAGAGAATTAATTAAACACTCACACAGTTGAAATGCCATTACAAGGGTCTAAAAGGTGTCAGTTCATTTTTGGCTACCAGTCTATGTGCTGAGTGAATTGTAACCTGATTATTTGACGATTCTCTAGGCTTGATTTTTTCCAAAACCTCACTGGCTCGCACTACTGAAGGGTAATGAGTTAGGCAGGGAACAGCCGTTGCATACTAATACTGAACCTTTGAAAGGTATAATTCACTGAACTGGAATGAAGCAATGAACATTCTTTGAAAAAACTTAATGTTGTTCATTATGCGATACATTTATACCATTTCATTCCTAGAAGTACATATGACTAGGAAAGTGTGTGGTACAATAAAAGAAGGAGGATATAATAGAAATTTATGTTGACAGGTCAGTTGATTCATATTTTCGACTTTTGTACCTTCGAAATTTAAATGCATTTTAGTAAAATGTTTGGTTTGCAGAGCTAGAGTAATCTGCTCTAACGAATACTTTAATGAAGAACTCAAGATTCTTAGAGAATTACTGAGTAAAAACGTATATCCACCAAAACTTTTAGATAAAAATATCCATTTAATTCTAAGGTAAGCTAGAATGTCAACAGTTAAAAATATGCCTTTGTTCTTAAAATTAAAATTTGTTAGTGGTAACATTCATGCAGGTTTATCACCGGATTTTAGAATATCGTTCTGCATGATGGACTAAGTAGAGGACAAACGAAGTCGATTCGTAGCTGTGCAGTAACTCAGAAATAGAGTAGATGTTAACGAGGTATTTAAAATTATCTAGCGTATTCCGAAGGCTAATCTTAATTTTGACTGACGAGTACATCGTTCGCATATATAGCTAAAGCCATTAGAATCCACCTGAAGACGACGAATCTAAATGTTCATACAGCTAGTTTTCTTACCTTGTTTATCATGACTAAGTCAGAGCCAGATTAGCAAACTATCGACAGGAGTATTTTTCGTTTGACCAATAGTTGGTGACCAGTATCATTAGTCTAGTCTTTTGTATGGTGCAGACTGAATTCTGTCGGTCACATCTGCAATGTGGCCACCATGCTAGATGGTTCGCCGTTATGATGCACTCTGGATTTTTGTTATTGGATGCCTGAAGACAATAGGCAGAAAGCCTTGGACTTAGGTTTCCTGCCCGATGACAAGTGCCAACAAACACAAAACCTAGGTCCAAGGCTTTCTGCCGATTTTCTCCAACTATCTGATAACATTAATTAAGAGTATTCTTAGATCAGTTTCACTTATTTTGTCTCCTGAATAATTAAATTGGAGGATTTCCGCGATTCCTCTTCTAGCGCCATAAAGTAGAGATTTGTTCAAACACAATTGCGAAATGCTTAACACTAAAAAGGAAGAAAACAGTAAAACTTACGAGTATTGACAATGGGTGTAGGAGTTGTCGTCATTGTTGCTGGTGTATTGAGTCGTGAGTTGCTAGTATACTGAGAAGTAGTACTGTTTCCTGTTGGCATTGTCGCCCCTTGAGTTAGACTTCCATCACGATTTAATACTACATCAAATGTGCAAAAAACAGGAGAAACAAGTAATAATAATAAGGACACCAAGGTATAAAATGATGAAACAATTCAAGCTGTGAAAATAAACTTCGATCAAAAATACCATTATACTATCACCAACGCTCGCCAACTACGCTTCACTTGATCCGGGTTCGATTCCTGGCCGATAAACTTGAAAACCTCGCTTAAATAGTTATAAGCTCGGTAAAGATAAAAGAATGGGCATAGGGCTAGCAACCTTAATCCGTGGAAAATACACCGCTGGTACTGAAACCTCAAAACTTCAGCTTTGTGCGCTATGTTCCACTTAGAACGCGGAGGAACAAAAAGATGTACATGCATGGGCTGAGATTTTGTAAATTCTAGTTTACCACTTTACTCTGTTGAAGCTACCAACGAAGTTGTAAGCAGCAAAATACCAGTAAATACGAAAAAAATCATTCTGAAATTTTTCCAGTCTTTGGCAAACACAAAAATTCTTATAAAAAAAATAAGTATATGATTTTTTGTGAAACTTTTGAAATCATATTTCGTGGTTTCTTTGAACTTCTCATGGATTTTTTGTTGTTGTTAATTTTGTTTGATTCTGTTGTCTTTATCGTTGTTGTTGTTGAAAGGTTTACACAGTCATAATGTACAAAATTTTCTCATGTATTTATAAAAGTTTCTTTTTATAAAACTAAATTAGATACACTCGATTTTACACGTTAAAAACTACACAGTTATAGAACTAATTTTTAAGTTTCATAAATCTCTCAGTGCGAATTTAAACGAATTGGTCAAGAGTATGATATACTTGAACTATTCTCTGTTAATGTTGCTACTGTAACGGCAGAGAACGTTACTAATTGGCATCGGAATCACTCATTTTGGTGTAAGTGATGTACACTGATTGAAAAAGTTACATTGAAATCTCCATTCATTTGCACATATTCTTTAAATTGCACTTCTTCCTTTGTCTTCCATTCACGTCTTTTGTGTTGTTGGTTTACAAAGATCGGGTGCCAGTGGCTGAATAGTCTACGAGTTCACCTTTCAACCAGAAGTTCCTGGGTTCGAACCCTGGTGGGTAATTACTGATGAAGAGCCCCAAAATAGGACGTAACAGTTGGCTGTCCAGCACTCCTAGGTTTTCCAGTGATTCTCTAACCGAGGTCAGCTCATGATGAAATCCTGTAACCAATCAATCAAATCCCCACAAACCAATAATTAAAATGACCTATCCTCTTCGCAAATTAATTATTCCATTTAACCACTACTCAATATTCTTGCGGGAAGACATCACACATACAATATACTACTTACGAAATCTTGTAAGTAGTACATGGCTCTCTAATACTGCTACTGCTACAACAACTGCTGCTATACTCAGTGATTCAACATGATATTTCACCTTGCCTATTGCAATTTTTTGAGTGTTTAAGTATAAAGAAGGTACGCAAAACGACATGTATCGCAAAGATTTTGAAACAGTAACTCAGAATATTCCTGGATATTGTTTACGAGGAAATGAATAAATATAAAACAGCAATTATCTAATCAGATTTTTTGAGAGATTTGTAGGCATTTCGTTAATTTTCAATGTGAAAATCATCTATAAATCGGCATCAGTTATACAGCCATTAAAAACGATGAAGTATAGAAAAGTTGTTTTGTCCTAATTTAGGAATCTTCTTCAGTGTAAACCAAAGAACCTATTGGCCGTTTACCGATCGGGTTGAAAACCAGTGTCCGGTAAATCTTGTTTTTCAACGATTCTCTAGCTGATGGCTGTGGAAGCAATCGATGGGAGGACCGTGACCTAGGTTTCTTGCTAAATGGTACTCTTCAGCAAGGCACATTTTTTCAATCTTGAAAGAATTCAAGTCCCTTTGGGAATTCGGACCCACATCAACCCCGTGATGCATAAAGTCTGTACTGACACCAAGATATAGGCGTATGACACACGTTACTCCCAAGCGATAGATCAGTGCATGCACTACAGTCCTACAGGAGGTCAGTTGTGAGTCTAAGTAGCTCAGTGATAACGTCTCTGACTGCAAGAAAACCTGGATAACGTGAATTCGAATTCCAAGTGGAGCATGAATTTCTACCAAGTATCTTAAATGTAAAGTCTGTTCCGATCAACTTAATTTACTTATGCGCTAGCCTGAAACTAAGAAAATAAGGAATTCAAGCAATGAGTACTAGTCAATACATTCTAATAAACAACAGCTTTAAAATACGCCGTGCATCGGTGGCACAGCAGTAGAATTCTCGCCAACCACGCATATGGTTCGGAGTTCGATCCCCGGCCAACGAGGCACTCCTTTACCTCACTGAGCCAGTAATGAAAATGGTAAATAGGGAAGGTTTGGCCAAGAGGCTAGCAACTCCTTCCCGTTAAAAATAAACACCACTGCTATTGAAACTCCAAACCTCTAGCCTGAAGTCCTATGTTCCACTGGGAACGTGAAGGAATAAGAATTAAGAAATATCATGAAAATTTTAGGGCATGAGACAAATAAAAAACACTGAAAATCATTCGATGTACGGATAAGAAGATTATTATCATAATTATTATTATAACGCAAAAGAATTAAGAAATAATCTCACAAGTGATTAATGGAATCCAAATAATACTTTATATATTTTACACAAATAATCCTGGACAATATCACTAACAAATTCATTTGCATAACAAAAACGAAGCATTAAATACTTGTTCAATGTCCAATTATCTATCAGTCATCCAATATAAATGATAGTAAATAATTAAAACTGATAAATCGCGAAAGTTAAACCAATAGCAAACATGAACAATTACCACTATTAGTAGTGGTAATAACTTATAAGGTGCTCAGCAAAAGTTGAATAATAAAAACAAAACTCTATAAAGCCATTTAAACAACAAAACTCTTTTACCGTTGGTTTACTAGTAAATAAAATTATCTACCGCATACAGACTAATTGAGAGTATTCAGTATTTGTATGGGTTGTTTATCTCCCTCTCTGTTCACGTGATTGATAAAAGTTATACAACTTGGTTAGTTGAATGGGATGCTATACAAATAGCATTCCAAGTATTAGTTTGGCAGCGAGAGAGAGAGAGAGTAATCATCTCCAGACAACATCATATTTTGCACACGACTAGTTGTAATTCCTTAACGGAAAGACAAAGTGTCTAGTCTAGTTATCTCTTCATATATCTGTCAATTGTGGTGGACTGGATTATGCGTCAGACAGTGGGTGGGAAACGAGAAGACAGGGATATCCTGGACCGACCGAGGTGAAGAACCTAGAAGACCTGGATTTCGCGCGTGGATGATTTATGTTTGATGTCACACAAAATCGAAGACTTACAAGCGAAAACCGGCAACCTGATCAAAGAAGCAGCCGGCGAGGAAAGGACTCCAGGTGAACATAGACAAGACGGAGGTTATGAAAATAACCAACCAACCAACCAACAACAACATCCAGCTTTAATCATCATCAACGGGAGGGCTTTGAAAGAGGTTACTTAATTCACTTACCTATCTAGTATTGAGCATTATCTCAACTACAGGAAGTCGGAACGGACAAGGATGACAAATCGAGAATGGGGAAGGCAAGAAACATATACATTCATCAACCTGAAATCAATTTGGAAATCCTCGTCACTCAGCATCGACAACTAAATTCGGTCGGATTTTCAATACAAACATCAAGTCAGTCAGTTCTTCTTTACGGATGAGAAACTTGGCGGGCGGGTCACAAAGAATATTTCCAACAGGCTACTGTAGATCTTTATCAACAGCTGTCTTCGCTGGCTCTATAGTGAAGATCAGATGGCCGGGCCGGAAAGAATCACCAACAAGAAACTATGGAAACAAATAAAACAGAACCAATCGCCAACTAACAAATATGCAGGAGAAAGTGGAGATGGATTAGACGTTCGCTGAGGAGGACACTGGGTGACATCGCGCGCGCGTCAGACCATTGCTGAAGCAGAACCTGAAAGAGAAGAGGAGAGTTGGTCGTCAGTGCAAGGGTGACATGGAGAAGATCGTGTGAAGAGCAGTTGAAACAGTATGAACTAACATAGGTGCAGGTGAAAAGTACAGCAGAAGACAGAAGCAAGTGGAGACGTTCAGTTGAAGCCCTGTGTTCCACTAGGAACCCAAGGGAACAATAATAATAATAATATCTGTCAATTTAAATGCTTCTGTGAAGCCAGTTATATGGGTCATCACTCTAAGAACTTAGTTTTTCATGCTCAGGTACCGAATATGTTAAACAACAGAAGCCGAAACTAACTCTGAGTGCAAAAGAAGGGTGTCCAGGCACTACTGCTACCTAGACCTGCAGTTGAATCTATAAATTCATAAATTCTGTACTGTAATTTTTCCTAACTTATATGATATTCCATTTTTGTGTTATATTAATGCATATTATCATTTAAAGATGCTTTAGAACTGTAATCCAATGATCTGAATGATTCGATGTTATTTAAGAAAAACTTTAATATTGTCGATCACAATTATCCTTTATCTATTGTTTTTTTTCCTTCACGTTCCCAGTGGAATATAGTGCTTCAAGCTATAGGCTTAAAGTTTCAGTAGCAATGTATATTTTACAGGATGGGGTTGCTAGCCTCATGCCCGACCCTTCCTCCTTACCACCTGTTATTACTGACTTAGCGAGGTAAAGGAGTGCGTCGGCCGGGAATCAAACCCCGGACCATGTGTATGGTCGGTGAGCGTCCTAACCACTGTGCCACCGACGCTTATCTATTGTGCCTACACATGACTGTAGAACATGATGAATAAGGCGCTATGGAAAAGAATATCCATTGTTGACTAATCAATCTTTTGGTAGTAGAATCATTGAAAACCAAGGAATAGACGAGAGTTGTTTCATTCCAGCTTGAGAACTTGTAACTGCTGGAGTTAAACAAATTTAGAGTGAGGACAGATACTCGCCAATGACACTGACTACCGGTGGCAATATGTATAGTTACAAATTAGCAGGAGCT